TAGAACCATGCCCCTAACCACTGTTTTTAATCCATTCACTACAGCATGGTCCTACAATCCAATCACCTCATCGAGACTCCACCTTCAATTTCCATAATAGGACTTCCCACCCTCTTAACATTCACAGTGGGGACCAAGTTTCTAATAAATAAAACTTGGGGGACACAATTCAAGCTTCAGTGAGTTTTGGGGGGACATAATTCAGTCCACTACAGCACTGTATGTCATAGACTTTTTTTATTGTTGTAAAATATACATAAAATTTACCTTCTTTGCCATTTTTTTGTCCGCGGTTTAGTGGTATTAAGTTTGCTCACAGTGTTGTGCAGCCATCACCACCATTTATCTCTGCTCTGTACCCGTGAAACAAGAACTTCCTGTTCTTCTCTCACTTCCCTCTAGCCTCTAGTAGTCATCATTCTGCTTTCTGTCTCTGTGATTTGGAATACTCTAAGTACTTAATATAAGTGTAATTATACAGAACTTGTCTTTTTGTGACTGGCTTATTTCACTTAGCATAGTGTGCTCAAGGCTCGTCCATGTTGTAGCTTATGTCAGAATTTCCTTCCTTTTTACAGCCAAATAATATTCTACTGTATGTCTATACTACATTTTGCTTATTTTTTCATCTGTCAGTGGACACTTGGGTTGCTTCCACATGTTAGCTGTTGTGAGTAATGCTGCTATGAATGTAGGTGTACAGATATCTCTTCAAGACCCTGCTTTCCATTCTTTTGGGTCTATAACCAGAAGTAGAATTGCTGGATCATATGGTAATTCTGTTTTAAATTTTTTGAGGAACTGCCTTTTTGTTTTCTATAGCAGCTATTTTGTTTTACATTCCCACTAACAGTGTACAAGGGTTTCAGTTTCTCCACATCTTTGCCAATACTTATTTTGTTTTTTCTTCCTTTTTTTTTTGATAGTAGCCATCCTAATGGTTATGAGGTGTGTCATAGACTTTTATTCTTCTCTTTAGTCTCACAGTATATGTACTCCCTTCCTGAATAAAAGGTTTTTGCTTTATCAAAGTACAAATGATATGGTTCCTGAAATATAACTTCAGTTTTCATAGATTCCCCAAGCATAGATACTTGGTGCCAGGTGTTCATTGATTTCCCATTTACAGGATATCAAGGTACCAAACCAGATTCACTCTTCAAGTTGGAGCAAGGAGAACCACTGTGGGTAGTAGAGGGAGCAGCCCATAGTCAAACCTATCCAGGTAAGTGAGTAAAAACTAAGAAAATGGGGAGAAATGACATGAAAGCCCCAGTTGATTGGTGAAGGGTTGATGCTTTTGAAATGAGCAGTTGGTGACCCAGACATTTAATCAACACCTTTCTGCAACTTTGTTCATTACCAAAGAGTTGTTCTTCTTTGCCTGGTGTTAAAGGATGATGTCTTCCCTTTTTTCTGTTTTCTAAATCTAATCCATCTCATCTAGGATCTTGATTTCTTATCTGGTTTCATTCGGCCTGCTCATGTCTTCTCCATTTCTTTTCAGTGGTGGTCTCACTTCCTCTTCTCTACCCTATTTGCTGTGAAATTCCCCTCACTACCCATCAGATTGCTTTGTTCTTGGCATGGCTGTCTATGTAGGCATATCCCTGTCCCTTCTGAGACGGCTGATTTCCTTTTCTGATACCTTACCTTACTTCATTGAAGGCCCCCCACACCTCATCTCTCATGGCAATTCTGTCTACTTATTCATCCCCTGCTTCCCAGCTTCTGTTTCTTTTTTATCTTCCGCTTGATTCTCATATTAAAAGTTTAATTCATTCTCAAGGTCTAAGCTCTCTGTTCTCTGCTGGAGACTCCCAAATTGATATGTTTGCTACTAATTTCTAATCTGCACTCTAATCCCCTGTATGTTGCTAGCCACCAGGACAGCTGTTCAATGATTTCTTCCTGTGTGTGGAACCAGAATCATCCTTTCTCCCAGGTAGTATTTTCATCATCGTAGAATATATTCACATATACTAAAGATTTGAACTCTTATTCTGATAGGTATTCTCAAGTTGACATCTTCCTTTTTGCAGTCTAACCTGCCCTCTTAAGTCTGTTTTATCTGCAGTGAGGATAGTCATCCTGTGAAATCCTTCTTTCAGCTTCAGTGTCAGAAACTGGAATCATTTTTTCTCCCAGCAAATACTATCACTTGTGCGTTTTGTTTTGTTTCTGCTATAATCTTTACACTCTGGTGCCTGGTCTCCTTTGAATTGCCTTGAGACTTCCATATTTACTGTGTTCTTTTATTTCTGAAAGTCTTGGCTGTTCCTATTAATTTTTTTAATTTTAATTTTTATTGATTTGAAAAAGCTGTTTGAAAATTCCACTCTCAATTCCCATCTCAAAGTAGTCCATGATAATTTAGGCTGGCATTGTCCCAGTTGCTACATACATTCACTGACTTCAGTTTTTCTGTTCCTTTTGATGTTGTGGCTGCATTCCTCTGTGGGTAGGGGACATTTAAGCAGTGGAACTTGATAAGAAAACATGAGCAGTGTTGGTAGAAAAGCAAGAGGTCCACATATATTTAGGGATTGAGAACAGAAGAACCCAGCCAGGTAGAATAAGTATCAGGGCTGTGATAGGAGGAGAGCGAGAAGATATTCCAAAAACAAGTAACAAAATTAGCCTAAGGAGGAGTGAGTGATATATTTTGCTGAATGCTGCAGACAGTGTCAAACAATATGAGGACTGGTATCTACGTGTTTGGTCACGTTGCATTTTACCTTCCAGGTTCTCCCTTTCACTGTGAGCTCTCTTTTTACCTTCATGAAGCAGGTTTTTTTTTTTCTTTCTCTTTTTTCCCTTATTACTTGAAATGTATGAAGTAGTTTTCGAATACACCAAGCACACTTGCAACTCCCTTTTTCCTGACTTGTGTCTGCTTTGTGTCTGTGTTGTACTAACTCAGTAATGGTCATGTATTGTTTTGTATGTGTGATGTTTCAGTGGTTGGTATGAGGCCTCTTTTTTCATATAGAGAAAAGGGTTTGTGTCTTATTCTTCCTTCCTTAGTGTGGACTACTTAGTGATTCACTAACAGCGTGACTTGCATGCATTCATCACATCTTCCTTGATGCAGGTTTTGTTTTGTTTCATTTTGTTTTAGTTTTGTATTTTAATCATGGATGTGTGTAGACCATGTGGGAGTGTGTGTTTTCAAACTACGGGTTGTGTCTGTTGGGATTCTGTTTCTGATTTGCTAGATAAGGGAAGTGACCTGAGCATGTGAAGTTTGAAAGGCTTGGCAGGTGATTCTGCTTTGATACCTGTAGTTAAAAACTCAGCACTCTAATATGCTCCAGGAGAAATTCCAATGTAATGAAGGACATAGGTGCATAAAATTTAAAAATTTTGATCATTTGACTGAGGCATTTTTGTGTAATGCAAGGCTGTGCAAAGCGAATTGTCAAACAGACAGGGACTATGTAATAAAGTGTTACAGAGAGAATAAAGTGCTGCTTTTGTAAGCATGAGAAAAATAATTTCTGCAAGAATAGCTGGGTTTTGAATAGAAATGATGATGAAAGGCCTTGATGTGGGTCAGTAATAATATAAAAAGAAGATTAGAGTAGGAAATAAGGAAGGTGATATGAGGGATGCTTATTAGATTGGTGAGTAGGAGACTATGAGGAAGGAGACGATTGGATTTTATGTTAGTAATTGGCTTAGTGTGAATTTGGTTTTGTTGTGGCTTTTTTTTTTTTTTTTTTTTTGCTAGTTCTAGACAGTCTTGCTTGATAGCTGGGTAATATAACATTGTGATAATAGGAAGGTATAACTCGGGGTTCTAGGATAAATGGAAGATAAGGCAGATAAATGTTTTGTTCCTGGATGGGGAATTTGTAAAAGGGATTTCTTTTTTTTTGTTTTTTTTTTTTTTTTTTTTTTTTTTTGCTAGTTCTAGACAGTCTTGCTTGATAGCTGGGTAATATAACATTGTGATAATAGGAAGGTATAACTCGGGGTTCTAGGATAAATGGAAGATAAGGCAGATAAATGTTTTGTTCCTGGATGGGGAATGATTCTTCAGCACCTCTTAATCGATGGGTGCCAGAGATGATGTAGGAACAGAGCTCGAGGAAGAATGTGGTATTAATTGAAAGAAAATTTGGGGATGACTGTATCAAGGAGATTATAATGGCAAATATAGGATATGATGGTCTATATCAGTGCTGGCCAGTGCGTTAGGCACTGGCCACATGTAGCTATTTAAATTTAAGTAAAATGAAATAAAAAATTCAGTTCTGTAGTTACCCTAGTCACATTCAAATGCTCAATAGCCACACATGGCTAGTGGCTAAACACAGATACAGACCACTTCCATCTGAGCAGAAAGTTCTGTTGATCTGTGTTAGACACAGTTACAATATTACTGAATTGATTGGAGAAGCTGATGTTTCCACCAGTCAATATAATTATAACTTTTCTGGGACAAGGGCAGGTGATCCTCGGACCTTTAAATTCCAGATGGATGTACATGTATCTGGATATATTGAACCTTGTGAGGTTGTATCATGCCTGTAAAGGAAAAACAAACTCTGCTTCTCTGTACTCTCACAGAACACTTCTGACACCATATGTGTGGGTTTTTCACACACCAACCAGTTCTTCAACTCTCTGGACACCAATTACGTGTCCTTCAATTCAGTTGTGACATTAACTACCTGGAGTTAGTACAGACCCCACAGGTTAAGGGCTCAGTCTCACAAGACCACCCTCCTCACTTCAGATGCTGTTCATAAGTAGTGGGTCCCCAGGTTACCCACACTTCTGATTAGGGTACAAATCAGGGGTACCCTTGACCCCCTCCTCAGGTTTGATAATTTGCTATGACAGCTTACAGAATTCAGAGAAACACACTTACTTGTTTATGATAAAGGATACAGGTGAATAGCCAGGTGAAGAAGTGCACAGGGCAAAATGTGGAGGGTCCTGAGCACTGGATGTAGAGTTGGGGGCCACCACCCTCCCAGCATGCAGATGTGTTCACCAACCTGGCAGTTCTCTGAACCCCTTCTTTTAGGGGTTTTTATGGAGGTTTCATCACATGGACATGTTTAATTATTAGTATAATCTCCATCCCTTCTCCCCTTCCTGGAGGATGCTGACCAGCCCCCATCCTGAAGCTATCCAAGAGCCCATTGCCAATCATAATCCTGAAAGGCACAGTTGTGAATGCTGTAATCCTGAATGTTGAAATCTCAAAAGACCAAATCCCTGAAGTCTAAAATCCTGAAAGATTAAAATTTCAAATTTTGAAATCCTGAAAGGCAAATTCTGGGGAAAGGATTTGTGCATTTTCGGTTGTATGCAGGGTAGTTGCATCAGGTTCTTTGCATCATGTTAGGTAGAACTATTACCTGTTACTGTCTTTATCTGGAAATGTATGGTTTAAGTATGGTTTAAGGAGATGCATAAGGGTGCCACGTTGACAATGGGTGGACTTAATTTTAGGTGTCAATTTGGGGAAGCTGAATATCATTCCTTGTTGATGTATTTTACACAACACAGTGGAAAAGATCTATGAAATTATTCCCTTGCAAAAAAGCTGTGATAAGTTTACGAGGCTACTTAATGGTGGAAGATAAAAAGTTTAAAAGCTAATTATTACTGGTAATGTGAAAGCAGAAAATCATTTAATTGCAGTGGCTGAGCAATAATCAGACTTCTCAATGGACAGTATATACTTACAAAATTTGTAGACGACAGCCATTGTCCAAATACAAGTGTAGTAAGTGTTTCGAAAATCATAGAATTGAAAACGCAACGAAAAATTCAAGATATCTCCCCTGCCAAATTTTTCAGTCATGTGTGACATTCATGCTCCTTCACACATAGCGCCATGCTTGCTGTCAAAAGTCTTCCTCAGAGAACAAAAAATTCAACAGGCTCAGCAACCTTCCAAACCAAAGACACTCACTGATATATAGGTTCCTCCATGTTACAAAACACATTAAATGGAGACCTATTCTTGGTTAGGAATTTGACTTTCAAAAAAGATAAACTTCTAATATTTACCACTAAGTCTAACATAGAAAAACTAGCATATGCTTCACTTTGGCTAATGGACGACACTTTCAAAACTGACCCCAGGTTTTGTTATCAACTATTCATGCACTTATTGGATTTGAAAATTCTAGAACTTGTCCATTTGTTTATGTGTTAGTAACTGGAAAAAGTAAAGCACTTTATAAATGCTTATTTGAAGAT